GATCTACACATCAGCCCTATGGGTTCAGCCCAGCCTCTGTTACAAGGCCTGGCCGAATTCATTGAAAAGACAGTGAACCCCCTGAAGCCCATCACATGGACTCCTAATGGGCCCAACACTTACACTAGTGGTCCTTGGGCCAAACCATCTTATAAAAGCCCAGGGATTGTGGGCAGATGCAATATTAGCCCATCAGGTATTACCCTCAATGGTCTTACACTTAACCTCTCAGCCCATAATGATCATGCATTGCCTAACAAGAGATGACCTCTCCTTCGGCTGCAAGGAACAATGTTGCACTCTCTGAGCACATGGATCCCGGGAATTAAAACCATTTGCAAACATTTTGAAACTATAATATATATATATATATATACATTTATATCCGTATATAAAATATATTTTGCAAAACAAATTTCAACGATTGAGATCGGCTGCCGGCTGTCTTGGTTTCCATCAGAGAGAGTGCATCCCTGATCATTACCTTTGTCCAACAAAGGGACTGATCCTGTCACTATGATCACCCACTCAGATGAATTCTCAGACTGTCCCAACATACCCAGGTTTTGACCCCCTCTAAGGATCTCACTGATTGGCATATTAAAGACAGCCCAATCTGACACCAAGTGCAGTATCATAATCGAGTCTAGAGGTCAGGTGTAACTTTCCAGTATTGCCGACTAATCACCAACGTCCAGGGTAATACTGGAAATCTGGTCCGGTTTAGGGTTTCAAGTAAACCTACACTGCATGTACCTCGGGTCTCACCCTAGCAACTGAGACAGGCCACCCCAACACTTGGCGGCACACCAGTGTCAGCCTTAGCATGATAAATCTCCCCAAACTTATCCAATGGTTATGAACATTCTAAACTAACACGAGTCTCATTATGTGTCCGACTTAAGGGTATTACACAGAAAACACACCACAATAACATGAATCAAATATGTACTTTATTCATTTACAATAAATGTCATAAGTACATCAATCTGATTGAAGCTAAGGGCATACACTATCTAACAGTTCACTGTTTGTGGTCTATTTGATGTCTAGGTTGGCCTGTGTTTGGGTCAAGGTTCAGGTCCAATTCAGGTTAGGTTAAGTCAAGGTTGGGTCCAAGTCAGTTCCAAGTAAGGCCATGTTCACTGTCTATGGTCTATTTAGGGTTTGGGTTGGCCTATGAGCTGCCAACCACCACCCCTAATCCAATTAATGGATTGACGCTAGCTGCTTGCTTATAGTCTAGCCCTATCCTGTATTTGTGTCAGGTCAGGTCCAAGCTAGGTCGGGTCATGGTCTGGGTTAGGTCAAGTCTAGGTCAAGTCATGTTCATTGATTGTGATCTGGACAGGGTCTAGGCTTGCTTGTGAGCAGCCAGCCAGCCCCAATCCAGTGAATGGATTGAGGCTAGCCCTAGCCTATGTTTGGGTTAGGAGGGTTCAGGGTCAGTGGCTGGGGTGGGTTTAGGTTGGTAGGGTGGGGTTGGGTCTATGTAAGATATTACAAATAGTTCATTCATTGAACTCTATTTATTTGTGATTATATATAGGGCCAAGTTGGAGATGGTTTTGGAACAACCACTTTACCTGAGTCACCTGCATCTGAGGTACCTAGGGTTCATGTACAAGAAGCCTAACTTACACAAGCTGCTGCTATTGATGCCTAACCTCGAGTGAGAAGAGTAAGGAAAAGGAATGAGGGAGAGACTTCTTCTGCACCTTCTAGATCATCTTAGAGGAGAGAGTGGAGGGAATGAGGGTCTATACCAATTTTGAATTTGGATTATGCATCTTGAATGTAAGCAACTTAATTTCATGTTATTTGAGTTTGGCTAACTTTTTTGGCTTCATAAGGTCACTATTCATTATTTTACTACATTATTGTAGCCTATTAAAGACAATAGCAAATTGTTATCAGTTCCAAGGAAACAAAAATGAATTCCATCAACTATATGATATGTGGAAGTCCATTGCTTGTGGGAGACTTTTGAATTTTCCTTATTCAGGAGTGTTTTTTTTTTCTTTTTTTTGTCAATTAATAAAATAGTGCACATTGGAACAAAGTATTTTCTATTGCTTACTAAACTTAAGTTAATTGTATTTTATCTTACTCATTGGAACAATGTATTTTAAGTAGTCTTTAAGTGCTTAATGAGTATAAAAATTAGGTTCCCTGATATTACACTTTGAATTGAAATCACACTATAATATGAGGCAAAAACATTTTTCATTACCATGCAATAACCAGAACACTAGATATGCCATTGTTAATTACAACTCATTCACTATTACAACACAAGAACAAGAAACCTATCATACCTATCTTCTTGTACATGCAACTTCCTTCATATCCATCAATTCCCCCTTAACTCTTTAAGCTCCTTAATAATAAATCCAACTGACAATGGTCTAGAATGACTACCATCCAGACCTTTACATGAACATTTTCTCTTTAGTTCTTCAATTTGCTTCATTATCTACCTTTCCCTTCCATGAAGTTTCCTAATCACCTTAATTGTCCTTTTTGAAAACTTTTCTGTGTTGTGCCACCTAAAGAAATCACACCCATTTCCCTATAAACAAAGCACTTTATTAGAATAAAAAACAACAACATTAAAAGAAGAAACCTTATTTACACATTACTTTATATCATGGATAACCATAGAACCTCTTATTAGGATTGTCCTTTGTCCAATCTACCATTCTAGGAGCTTTTAGGCCACAATGACAAAATATAGGTTGCCCTTTGTATTCAAAGCTCTGAGACCAATGACTTGAGTTTAATGATGATGACCCTTCCATTTTTGCAACAATGGTGTTGAACGGTGATGAAGAAGAAGGCAAGGTTAATTGAACTCCTGGTTTGAGGTAGAAGATAACAATCGTATGTGTTTGTATAGAATGATCGGAGCTAGGAGACTGAAACCCTTTTAATAATGACCAGAGTGCTTGATCTATATCTTGATCATGGTCAAAAATGGAGAAGACGATGGGGTGTCTCCACTGTATTTTACTCTACAACTTACCCCTATTCGAATGGGATGATGTGTAGGACTTAACATTTGAGAGTGGGCCCTATGGAGATGTCATATGCTGAATGGGCATGCCAACTCAACATTTTTCATTATTTTAATCGATCTTAAATGGTGCAGGTGACGACATTACAAACATCGTTTGGTTCTTCGGTTGACCGTTTTTTGAAGTCTAGGGTTTAAATTAGCCCTTTTGATTGTACAAGGGAAAAAGTGGCCTTTTTGAAGAGTACAAAGGTTATCAGAGCCGAAAGTCCGATAAATATAAATGAGAAAGTAAGGAGAGGATAAATAAATCTCTCTTTCTTTATTTATTGGTTGTTAATAAAAATGACATGGAATAGAATAAAATAAAAAAATTCAAAAAAGAAGAAAAACGATAGACCTTTTAGATGCTAACATTATAAACCCAACCGATACAACAAAGCAAAGGGGGTGTCTTGATAATTATGTGAAACTAATTATAATTTTGATAATCATGTGAAGCTACAGGAGTATCTTAGAAAATATAGTTTTAATCTTTAAAAAAAAAGGAAAATATAGTTTTAATAAGGGCAAATCTCTTAAAGTACCCATAAGGTTTAGGAAATTAACTAACTCTACCATTACTGTTTACATATTATTTTAAAGTATCCCTAAGTTTTTTGACAATTGACATCATTATTAAGCATTAATGGAAAAAACAAAATATTGAATTTGCCCTTCAATTTTCAAGAATGGTAAGATAGTTTCTATCCATTGGAAGGATGAAGAGGAATGAGGTTATTCTTGTCTTTTTAATTATTAAAAAATTCTGTAGTTACTTAAGTTTCACGAGTCTGAGTTTGTTGGAAATCCATACAGAACTTTACTCTTATGCTCCTTAAAAAGTCGGATTTGATCCATGTGACAACCTCTTGAAGAATCAAGGGTCCAAACTGCGTTGATGAATTCATGCATGGTTGTGCGATCTATGTCTCCAGTTAAATAGTCTGAACCACCAAACAAGTTGATTAATTACTGGGTTTTAGGACTCTGGCTTCTCTGAGTAGGGGGCCACATGGGAATTATAAAACGAAGAGTTTGAGATTTAAACAAAAAAACCACATGGGAATTATAAAACGAAGAGTTAGAGATTTAAACAAAAAAAAGTTCCAGAGTTTAAAACTGATACGTGATACATCAAACTCATGGATCATTCTTGAGAAAATCATGGTGCTAGTAGAAGTTCCAGTCGTAGCAGAATCATAGAATGAAGAACAATGAGTTGGTTTATTCTTGAGGCATGCTCTGCATTAGAGTTTATCCTTTTGGATGTGTAAGTCAAAACATGCAAAAAGACAAAATGAATTTTCTTAAGAGATTAGGGAGGTAGTAATAATGAGAGACCATTTGGAGATCATCAAGAATAAGCAATTTTTTCGCCCCCGCTATTCTTCCTGAAATTCTTTAAATGTTCCTCATTTTACACCAGTGCATAGAGTTCTTATTCCTTGTATTGTTTTGGTTATTCCACTTATATCTATATTTGTCTAAAAATGCACTCATAATTTTACAACATTGAGAAAGAGAGTTCCAAGGCATTGTAAACACACTCATCTCAATCATGGATTCATCACTTTGAACCATATCCACGAGTTCAGAGGAGACATTAACCCTTCAATCTTTATCACAATAGAGGTTTTGGTTTATTCTCAAGAAAAAAATACTTTATAAATAATAAAAAAATTTATCATGTAATATCACATGTAAATAAAATAAGATAAGGGAGGTTTTAGAAAATTGTTTGAGAACATAGGTACATTTAAGACAATATGTAAACAAGAGTCGAATTAGTCAATTTTGCTAAATCATAGTGCTACTTTAATAAATTTGTGCTTTTCATAATTATTTACGCCGCCATATCGTTTGAAAAAGCCAGCAATGAAAATCTCGTTAGTCGCCCACACATTTTTTATTAGTACTTCCATGTCCTCATTCTGTCTTTATATCTTCATTTATAAGACCTCTGCTCGTTCTCTGCTACTGTGGTTTCCAAATAGAAGAAACTGAGGCTCTTGGGCATTTTTTTTTTAAAGCTCTGTAAGTTTCTCTTGGTTGTTTTAATGCTATATCGTTTTCCACACATTCTCTTGTTTCTCTTTTACTTTTTTCCTAACTGTTAAGCTCTTCTTGTTGTGACTGATCGATGAGCTATCTATTTTTTCTTTTTTATTTTTCGGATAAGATGAATGCATCATCTCTCCTTCAGATTTTTCTTTGCATTTGAGTTTCTTAAGTTGTCAAATTTGAGAACTTTGTTGTTATTCAATATTTTCTACTTCTGTTCAGTTTTGATGCTACTGGTTTAAAAAATGTGGGGTTTAGCGATTTTCTGTGCTCTCTATTTTTTTTTTTCCGTGGCGATCATTTATGTTTCTCGTTGCAGGCTTGCAGCCTTTTGTATTTGCTTCAAGTTTGACATTTTTTTTTCTTGATTGGAGGAGATGAATGAAAAAAACGTTCGAATCTTTTTTTTTTTATTTTTTTTTTCATTTTTCTTTTCTATTGTGTTTTATTTGTTGGAGTGGATTTTATTTCTTTCCAAAATCTCTCTCTCACTCTCTCTCTCTCTCATCATCTGAGTTTAATATCTAGTTAGAAGTAATGGATCTTGTAATGCTCTCTACTTTTATTTAAAATCCACTCCCTGTGAGGATATGCTCGAGTTATGGATCTTTCATGGTTTCAGTGCAGAAGAAAATTAGGTACAGAACATGGGGAGAGTTTTAATCCCCTTAGTGGGGCTTCTGTTCTTATGTTCCTGGGGAGCCATAGCAGAAGGAAAGTATCTTAAGTATAAAGATCCTAAACAGCCATTGGGTGCTCGGATCAAGGACCTTTTGAGCCGGATGACCTTAGAGGAAAAGATCGGACAGATGACACAGATTGAGCGAAGCGTCGCAACTGCTGATGTGATGAAGAAGTACTTCATTGGTAAACAACATTAATCGGTTTCTCTAATGCTTCCACTGTGTTTATTGATCTCTCATCTATGTTCATCCATCTTTGCCATTACAGAAATTAGAAGAACTTTAGTAATTTGTGTTCTACTTTCGGCAGGGAGTGTATTGAGTGGTGGAGGGAGTGTTCCAGCTTCTCAGGCCTCTCCTCAGACTTGGGTTAGCATGATGAATGACCTTCAGAAGGGTTCTTTATCTACCCGTCTTGGGATTCCGATGATTTATGGAATCGACGCCGTTCACGGCCACAATAATGTCTACAAGGCGACAGTATTTCCTCATAATATTGGTCTTGGAGTTACCAGGCAAGTGGGTTAAACAATAGGGTAAACTTGTTCTTAGTTTTAGACTTTTAGTTTCATTTGGATCTTTAAGCCTAGAACGAACTCTTCTCTTGTAATTGAGGTATAAAAATGGAACTCTGAAGAATCATTTAACTGAGAACCAATCACCCCAGAAACGTATTATCTTTTGTTTATTGATCTTTGAGCGAAAGGATCCAATTGTCCATTGAGAACCATTAATGTACAATCAACTAATAATTGGTCTCACTTTTAGCAGCACGATATCATCTTGAAGGGGTACCTATTTTTGTGAGCGTTATACAGAGATAAAACAAATCTAATGGAACAATCTCTTTAATAATTATCAGATCCACCATTTCATGTATGGCACTATGTCTATCCTTCATAACTAATTTATTTATTTATTTATTTTTATTTGTCAGGGATCCTGAGCTTGTCAAGAAGATTGGAGCTGCCACTGCTCTTGAAGTTAGAGCTACAGGCATTCCTTATGTTTTTGCACCATGTATTGCGGTATATAACTTAAAACTTAACTATCAATACTCTGATATGTGGGAGAATTTTAACTTATTTGAAGTAGTTTCAAGTTAGTTAAAGATGGAACTTTCTGTCTGAGCTGATGTTTTGCCATTGCTACTTCAATACAGGTTTGCAGAGATCCAAGATGGGGGCGATGTTATGAGAGCTATAGTGAAGATCACAAGATTGTTCAATTAATGACAGATATCATACCCGGTTTACAAGGAGAGATTCCAGCCAATTCGCGGAAAGGTGTTCCTTTTGTTGGTGGAAAGTAAGAGTTGTATTCATGATATAACCAATTTCTTTCAGGCCATTTACTAAGATAAAATTTTAGTCTACATGGCCCCTGTTTTCTTTACGTCAAAGCAAGCAACTAGTGATCTCATTACTTTTAACTCATTTTTAGACAAATCTCAAATGGTGGTGTGTATTGTGGACCAAGTCTTAGACCTCAAACTGCTGGACATTGTATTTGTACAATCATGGAGCTTGAATAAAAGATGGAGTTTGGTCCTTACCAGTGTGTAAATTTTGACTTCAGAACATGACAATTTATTAGACAATGAGGATTAGTTTTTAAGTTAAAATGTTGTTTCTTTAGGCCTCTAGATATTTTTATCATTTTTGAAATTTAACTTAAAATTTAACTATCAATACTCTGATTAGTTTTGCAACTGAGTTGTTTGGTATAAGGTCTTATTATCCCTTCTGATAACCAACAAATAACCAAGAAAAATTAGTCGGACTAATATGGTTATTACTTACCTTACATTGATGTGACACTGATTTGGATTCTTCAGCGAAAGGAACATCTTTTTCTTATTCCTAAAATGCTTTCAAAATTGCAAAACAATGTAATTAGATAAATGACCTTTTCCTTGAATTTGAATTGATACATGTAATCCATCATTCCATTGTCAACGTAGGACAAAGGTTGCTGCTTGTGCAAAGCACTATGTTGGTGATGGTGGCACGACAAAGGGCATAAATGAGAACAACACTGTGATTAGCAGAAATGGATTGTTCAACATCCATATGCCAGCCTACCTCAACTCAATCAGCAAGGGTGTTGCAACAATCATGGTTTCATACTCAAGCTGGAATGGTAAGAAGATGCATGCTAACCGCGATCTTGTGACAGACTACCTCAAGAACCACCTCCATTTCAGGGTAAACAATCTGATGATTAACCCAACTTGGTCTGTGTGTTTTTCCCCCAAAAGATTGAAACTGATGGTGATGCTTCTCTCTGATATATCGTAGGGTTTTGTCATCTCAGATTGGATGGGTATTGATAGGATTACTTCTCCACCCCATGCTAACTACTCTTATTCTGTTCAAGCTGGCATTAGTGCGGGTATTGACATGGTTGGTTCAAACTTACCTCTTGATACTTGGAAATTTCATATACAATCTAGAATGTAGTGTTATTTTTCTTTTTTAAATTCTTGCTCAAGTATATTTCATCTACAATTTACAATCTATGGTGTAGTGGTTCAAACTTATCTCTTGATGTTATGAAATTGCAGTTTGGATTTGGGATTTGATTTTGCAGTTTCCTGCTATGCCTTAAATATTTCTTCTGGGAATGTTGCAGATTATGGTCCCTAATAACTTTACAGAGTTCATTGACATTCTTACCTTTCAAGTGAAGAATAATATCATTCCCATGAGCAGAATTGACGATGCTGTTAGTAGGATCTTGAGGGTAAAGTTCACCATGGGTCTTTTTGAGGACCCATTGGCAGACCTTAGCCTTGCTGATCAGCTGGGAAGTCAGGTTAGTTAACTTAAACTCCTTGGTGGACCTTTTCTTTTCTCTTTTCTTCTCTATCTTTTACTTCTCTTTTCCTTTAAATGATTGAAAGACCTCTCTCTTTGCTAATGACTAAAAAATAGCTATGATCAAACATTGTGACTTGAACAGGAGCATAGAGAATTGGCGAGGGAAGCTGTGAGGAAATCACTAGTGCTTCTAAAGAACGGTGAATCTGCAGATAAGCCATTGCTGCCTCTTCCCAAGAAGGCCTCCAAGATCCTTGTTGCTGGTAGCCATGCTGACAACTTGGGTGCCCAATGTGGAGGTTGGACAATCACATGGCAGGGACTTCAAGGCAATAACCTTACAAGTGGTAAGCTTTCAGATAATTTTCGTTGGTGAATTTACAATTACTCTTTCCTCAGAGAACGACACCACATCAGTGCCACATAAGAAATCCGATGCTTGCTGTTTGGTTAGCCGTTTTTCCAAAAAATGTTTTCACAGACCACACCTTGGAAATCAGGAAAGGTGTGGTCTGAGAAAATGCCCTTTTTGGTGTTTTCCCGTCTTTTACTACTGTTGCTACAATAGTGTGCTGATGTGTTGAAAAATGCTTATATGGCAGCAACAACAATGGTACCAAATAAAAAAACCTGAGAACGTTTTCTGAGAAAACAGCATGCTTATGCAGCACTTTTTTCTGAGAAAATGCCTCTCAGGAAACAGCATAGATCCTCCCATGTATCTTTGGATACATGCTCTTTGAAAGTAAGAAAATTTTCAATTACTTCCATGTCTTTAGTTTTATTTGGTTTGATGGAATCACCCTTTCCATGAACAGGAACAACAATCCTCAATGCTATCAAGAACACCGTTGATCCATCCACTCAAGTTGTCTACAAAGAGAACCCCGACGCCAACTTTGTCAAGTCAAACAAATTCTCCTTTGCCATTGTTGTAGTGGGTGAACCACCATATGCTGAAACTTTTGGCGATAGTATGAACCTTATCATCCCTGAACCAGGACCAAGCACCATAACCAATGTTTGTTCATCTGTCAAGTGCGTGGTTATTCTGATCTCCGGCCGCCCTGTGGTGATTCAACCATATATTGACTCCATGGATGCTCTTGTAGCTGCTTGGCTCCCAGGAACTGAAGGCCAAGGTGTTGCAGATGTTCTTTTTGGTGACTATGGGTTCACTGGTAAGCTTGCACGCACTTGGTTCAGGACTGTTGATCAGCTCCCATTGAACGTCGGTGACCCACATTATGATCCCCTCTTCCCATTCGGCTTTGGGTTAACAACGAAGCCTACACATGCCAAATGATTATCATCTGAGGGACATAGAATATCAAGCCATGTTTTCACCATTTTAGTATCCATCCACGTTCTGTTTCAAAACTTAAAATATATATAGATCGTAACTTTTTTCCAATTATTTTTCTTTCATGCTCAAACCTTCATATCCTTTTTAATTTATTATACTTTGGGATGCATCATTTGTAGTTTATTTCTGAGCAGATACTGGTGCATACGTTCTTATGTTGGGTCGGTTTCGGTTTGGTCGTGTATAACTATAAATTGACTAAAATCGACCTGACTTGACTATATTATATATATTAATTTTATATTTTAGATTTAAAGTTTTTAATATGAGAAAGTGGGAAAATACTTTCTATAATTTCATACAATGGTTTTCATGGTACAATTTAATATTTGATTTTTATATGGTGAAAACCTTGCTTCACATTGAACCATTCAATGTTTGATTTTTATTTTTTTTTGGTAAAGGATTTTATCCATTGAAAATATAGTGAAAAACTATTTCTTGGAGAATTAATAAACTGACCCAAATTGATTGGTTGGTTTTGGGTGGTCAATTTCTTAACTTGACTAAGTTGGTTTGGTTGGCTAAATAGCCTAAAACTGAATTGAGTTCGACTAGGATTTTATCCATAAATACCAATAGAGTAGGATAGATGATCTATTATTTGGAGTTCGACTAGTATGCTCTGAAGTCTGAAACTTTCCTCATCTATCTAAAAGGGGTTCAACGTGGTGAACAATAAAGTGTGCAGGAATGGAAGGTTAGGTCCATCCGAGGGTTGTCAATTGGATTGGACTAGGTCCAATCCAATATTGGTCTAATTACAAATGGGCTGGACCAAATCCAGTCCAAATCCACACAAATTAAGTCTAATTTGGTCCAAATGAAATGCAAATCGATCGGATTGAGTCCAATCCAATAAAGTGTGCAGGAATGGAAGGTTAGGTCCATCCGAGGGTTGTCAATTGGATTGGACTTGGTCCAATTCAATATTAGTCTAATTACAAATGGGCTGGACCAAATCCATACAAACCAAGTCTAATTTGGTCCAAATGAAATGCAAATCGACTGGATTGAGTCCAATCCAATAAAGTGTGCAGGAAAGGAAGGTTAGGTCCATCTGAGGGTTGTCAATTGGATTGGATTTGGTCCAATCCAATATTGGTCTATGGGCTGGACCAAATCCAGTCCAAATCCATAAAAACCAAGTCTAATTTGGTCCAAATGAAATGCAAATCGACCGGATTGAGTCCAATCCAATTCAATTTGAATCAAACACCAAAATAACATGAGAAGTTTAGAAAAATATATAAAAAACTACAACACCTATTGCAATCCAATCCAGGTCAATTAAAATGCAAATGAATTGGATTGGGTCCAATCTAATCCAAATTGAACCAAACACCAAAATAACATGAAAAATCCAGAAAAACACTACAACACCTACTCCAATCCAATCCATTTAAAATGTAAATGGATCGAATTGGGTCCAAATCAGTCCAATTAAAATGCAAATGGACTAGATTGGGTCCAATCCAATCAAAAGTGAATGAATCACCAAAATTACATGAGAAATAAAAAAAATATATAAAAAAACTACAACAACTGCTGCAATCCAATCCAGTCCAATTAAAATGCAAATGGACCGGATTTAGTCTAATCCAATCCAAAGTTAATGAAAAAACAAAATTAGATAAAAAGCCAAAAATATTAAAAAAAATATAAAAAACATTTGTTGCAATCCAATTCAATCCAAGTCCAGTTCATCCTTATTAACAAAAAAGAAAAAACTCATCAATAGGAGTTGGATAGAGGACCTATTATTTGGAGTTCTGACTAGTATACTCTGAAGTCTGAAACTTTCCTCATCTATCTAAAGGGGTTCGACATGGTGAACAATAAAGTGTGTAGGAATGGAGGACTAGGTCCATCCGAGGGTCGCCAATTGGATTGGATTTGGGCCAATCCAATATTGGTCTAATTACAAATGGACTGGACCAAATCCAATCTAAATCCATACAAACCAAGTAATTTGGTCCAAATGAAACGCAAATGGACCGGGGTTAGTCCAATCCAATTCAAATTGAATCAAACACCAAAATAACATGAAGTCTAGAAAGAAAAACTACAACACCTGTTGCAATCCAATCTACTTCAATTAAAATGCAAATGGATTGGATTGGGTCCAATCCAAATTGAATCAAACATCAAAATAACATGAAAAATTCAGAAAAAAAAATATATAAAAAAACTACAACACATACTTCAATCCAATCCAATTAAAATGCAAATGGATTGGATTGGGTCCAATCCAGTCCAATTAAAATGCAAACGGACTAGATTTGGTCCAATCCAATCAAAAGTGAATGAAAAAACAAAGTTAGATAAAAGCCAAAAAATATTTAAAAAAAAATACAAAAAACATTTGTTGCAATCCAATCCAATTCAATCCAAGTCTAGTTCATCCTTACTAACAAAAAACTCATCAATAAGACAACTTTATCCTAATTTTTGTGAGACAACTCTCTAACTTGTCATAATTGTTAGATGCTAAATCTAAAGCCTTGCAAGATGGATTAAAAGATTAAGAACTAGAATCAAGGTGGATTAAAAGATCAAAAGATCAAAATAACATCAATGGAATCAAGTGGAGGAACTGAGGTCTTTTTTTTTTTTTTTTATCTTGTCCAAGGTGATTTCAGATGTGTTTATTTGTTGAATATCGGGAAAATATGTTTATGAAGCTAGCTTGCCGAAAGCATGAAATATGATAGCAAAACAAACAATAGACAAAATGACCCTCACTTAATTACTTAAAAAAGCTAGGGTTCCTTGTACAAAAAGTAGTTTTAACTTGCATGAAAGACAACCATTTTAGGGGAAGCGTAAAATCCACATTTAGAACCTAGGCTAGGATGTACATAAAAAAATTTGATTATGAACAGTATTGTGAGGAGACACATTGGAGATTCATATTTAGAACTGTGTACATAAAAGACCCATCTGTCAGCACTCGATATTTGCTCAATTTTCCGCCTAAACCCCCAATTCACCCCAGACACTTGATCAAACCCTTTCAATCTCTTTAAAACACCCAATAACCAAAAAGACCCAACTTTTAGACTAAAAGCCCTCAAATCCACCTCTAAATCTAATCGACACCAATCTGATAGCCTGATTAGCTTCCATTTACACTTCAACCCTTAGAATTTCAACCCAAGATTCCTTCATTTACCCTTCCAGCAAACCAATATTCCCTTTAGAGCCATCTTATTAGCCGAAACACCCGTAACCCAGATCCCCTTGATCTAAACACATTTGAACCAATTGGACCAACCATTGAACTCTAGACCTACAAAAACATCTACCCCATAACATTTTAACCCAAAATTCCCCATTTACCCTTTTATCAAATTAAGATTCCATTTTGGATCCTTAGATTAACCCAAATTTCCACAATCTTTACCCTTTGGAACCAATCAGACATCACCACTAGATCCCAAACATTCTAAAACCCCTACCTATGAAATTTCACCCAAAACTACCTTTGTTTACCCCTCTATCATATAAAGATTCCTTTTTGAGATTTTAGATTGACCAAATCAAGCCCATTCCAGTTATGCCCGATCTGAGCCAAGTAGGGCCAATCTGACCCTACCAATCAACACAGAATGCTCAAAAAAAAAGTACCATGTGATTTTGAATCTTGTTTGCCCCTTAATCACATAAAGATTCTATTTTGAAACTCTTAATTAACTATATCACTCACCCTCCAAATTTTCTTGATTTGGGCCCAATTAGGCCAATATGACCTCATCAATCAATCCAAAATGCCTAAAAACCTTATCATGCCAAATTTAAGCAAAAAAATACCCCTATTTGCCCATTTATCTAAAAAGATTCCATTTCGGTCAATCTCATTGGCCTACATATACAAAACCATTATATATGCCTAAACACATCTCTACCCTACTTGCTTATGATCCAAAATCCCACCGTTAAACCATAATCTCGGTTTGACCCAAATTTTCCAAAATTACCAAAATGCCCCTAAACTTTTCAAAAAATACAAACTTGCCCTTAACCTAAAGTTTTTAACGTGGGGGAATGCATTATTCATTACCCTCATCTTCCCCTGTCCCCACCTTGTTCCCTCTCTCTCTCTCTCTCTTCTCCATCCACCGATTATCTCTCCCTCTCCCTACCAATCTCTTCACCTGTCGCCCGAAGCACTATTCATTTCTTTCTTCCTATCAACGTAGTTACCGCTGAACGACAACTTTCCTTCCCGAGCACTCGATTTAGCCAGTTCTGTTCTATTCTCTCTTCTTTCTCTCCCTCTCCCTCTCCCCTTCTCCTTTCTTCTTCTTCTTCTTCTTCTAGTTCTCTTCCTCTCTCTTCTTCATCTTCACCTCTGTTTTTACTGCCCTTATCATCACGGTTGCAACTCTGAGCAACGGAAATTTGCTTTCTCCTCTCTTTCTCGCCTTCTCTCTTTCTCTTGGATTTTTCTCGTCCTTAGCCCTTTTCCCTCATAACATGGTCCCCTACTTTTTCCACCGACCTGTCGATTTACCACTGTAATAGTAGTTTCTATTAGACAATGTATGCCCTTAGTTCTAATAAGCTTGATGTACATTATGACATTTATTGTAAATGAATAAAGTACAAATTTGATTCATGTTATATTGGTGTGCTTCTGTGTAATACCCTTAAATTGGACACTTATGAGACTCGTGTTAGTTTAGAATCTTCACAGTTGTTGGATAGATCTGGGGAGATTTATCTTGCCAATGATGATATTAATGTGCCGCCAAGTGGGTTGGGGTGGCTTGTCTCAGTTGCCAGGGTGAGAATTGAGGCACATGTAATGCGGGTTTTCTTGAAACCCTGAATCAGACCAAATTTCAGTATTGCCCTAGACCTTAGAGATAGATAGGCGAAACCGGAATGTTGCACCTGACTCCTAAACTTGATTATGGTACTGCACTAGGTGTTAGATTGGGATGTCTTTGATATGCCAATTAGTGAGATCCTTAAAGGGGGTCAAAATCTGGGTATGCTGGGGCAGTCTGAGAATTCACCTAAGTGGCTGATCATAGTGACATGATCAGCCCCTTTTTCAGACAAAGTGAATGATCGGGGAATGCACTCTCTCTGATGGAAACCTAAACTGCCGGCAATTGATTTCAAATTGTTGAGATTTGTTTTTGCAAAATATATTTATATAGAGATATACATATATATTATGGTTTCATAAAATGTTTGCAAAAAGGTTTTAATTCCCGGGATCCATGTGAGTAGAGAGTGCAATACTGTACCTTGCAGCCGATGGAGAGGTCCTCTCTTGTTGGACAGTGTTTAATCATTAAAGGCTGAGAGGTTAAGTGTAAGACCATTTAGGGTTATACCTGATGGGCTAATATCACATAAGTCCATAGTCCTTGGGCCTTCATAAGGTGGTTGGACCCAATGACCATTTTGTGTAAATGTTGGGCCTACTAAGAGCCCATACAGATGGGCTCAGAGGTTCACTGCTTTCATTAGTGAATTCGACCAGGCCTTGTAACAGAGGCTGCGTTGAACCCATATGGCTTTTGTGGAGATCAATGCTAGGGTCCCACGCCATACAAAGAGATCCAAACTATCCAACATATAAAAGGGAAAGTGAACTATATGACTTAATGGGCTGAAAGCCCATTTCGAATTGGGCTTAAGTGACTTAATTAATTATGGCAAATTTGGTTTATAAGCTGATTAGGATTAGCAAGAGGATAAAATATATATGCCTTATCCATTTAAGAGTCCAGATCCAAATATCAGATTTGGATCAAGAAACTCTTTCCTAATTGGATTAGGAAGCTAATCCAAAGAAGGCTATAAATAGGGGGCAAATTCACCAGTTTCATACACTTAGCAATTTACAGAATTCTCCTCTAATTCTTGCCGCCCCTACCCAGTTCGAACTCCTCTTTTGGATTTGATCAAGAATAGTTCTTGATATTGTTTCTTGCTAGAAGAAACAATCTAAAGTTGTGCTCACCAACCCCTTGCTTGATTCTTTCTAAAGAATTAGGGTTCTTGTTGAAGAACTACCCTACTGATCTTGCCTCACCATAAGCTGTGTCATCTTCAGTGGGGTGGGTTTTGGTCATCTCTTTGGGTGTGAACACCTACATTGGGAGTTATTGTTATTCTATATCAGGTATATCCCTACTTCCTCCTTTTGGTTTCAAATCTGGTCCAGTTTTGTTTCAAGAATGAACATTGAAAAAACAATTTTTCTAAATTATGGGAATACGATTCCCAGATGGGAGAGAGAGAAAATTTTTGAAATTTCGCCTAACCAACATGAATGGTTCGACCATCCATATGATGGATCTCCCATCCCTTCAGTGGTATCAGAGCCAGGTTTTAAATCTTGAACCAAAACTAGACCTGATTTGAACCTACGCAAATGGACAGAATCGGTTCTACCCGATTTGCGAGATTAATGTTTTTTCTGAGAATTTTGTTCTCAATATTGGGCGTATGATCTGAAAATTAATTCTTTCTTTATCAACAATAATTATAGAATTTATCTATATTTATTTTTTGATTTATGGGCTCTTCGTATGGTGGAGATCAAAATATTTAGTGGCACCAAGAATTTGCACACCTTGCTGAATTATTCTATTCAATTCGGTCTGTAAATATATATATATATATATATATATATATTATTTTTAGACGAAATGTAGGATTTATTTTGATGTAAATTAATAGAGAGAATAAGCTTTCCTATTTTTTTCATTGGAAGAGATGCTGGTACGCATGGAGGAGTAGAAGACCCATTCACAAATACAAGATCTGCAATATGCGATTTGTAGAAAATGAACCTGTAGATTGCGACTAACCTTTTTCTTACAGGATTGCAACACTACGAACAATACTCTGATTATTGTTTTGCTGATATTGAAAGTCTTTTTCGACTATAATTGATTTTCAGATCATTTTATTGAATTGGATCTTGTAATAGACACCAAACCCTAGGCCGATTTGACCTAAATTGGACCAAACTGGTTGGACCAAATCTATGGTTCAATAGGGTCTGTTCTCAGCCCTAAATTTTGATTATTGGCTAGGGGTTTGATGGCCCATTACAAAATCTAATTCGGCCCACCCTTGTAAAACTCAGTTTTGTTAAGTTGAAACTGCATTAGCTCAAATCAGCACAAATGCTACATGGGCCGAACTGCTTTTTGTAGTTTAGCCTATATACCTAGATGATGTTATATCATAATATTATGGGCTGTAAATGGGTTGATATTGTTTTAACCTAATTAATTAGGGTTTTACAGTTTATGTGATTGATTGGATCAATTGTCATGCATGTGGATGTATGTGATGTGTGATATGCTACGTACATGGGCCATAAGCACTTGGCCCATGTTCATTCATTAGTGGCTCTCTATGCACACTGATGAGAATGAAAATTATCATATTTTTTATCCCTTAATATTTACTCTTTTATACTTATTTAGTGCCTAAATGAACTCATTATTCTTATATTTTGATTTAGGACACGAAAGGAGGCGTTAAGTGAAAAACAAGGCTAATCGGGTAATTCTAGACAGTTTCGGCACTGCATAGTAATTTTAGCATAACTCTCTTATCCGGACTCCGATTGAGATGAATCAAGATGCGTTGGAAAGATAAGGAAAAGGTATATAGCTTTCATGTTTTGAGTTTTGATAGGTATGGACTACATCGAGGACAAAATCGGGCCCGAATTATCTGCAACCGCACTGTTGACGTGCTGGAGCCATTCCTTAGCCTGCAAGTTTTCATCCGGGAATGGACGAAAATTAGGGTTCGGACCTGGAAGAGAAAAGAAGAAGAAGAAGAAGGAGAACTGCTGAAGTGATGAGGGAGAAAGACTGCTGAATGCGAATTGAAGAGGAGATCGAAGGTTGATGTAGAACACTTAGGTTGTCTTCTTCTTTGATTATGCAATTTGGTAACCTAGATTCGATTAGGGTTTCTTGATATTTCTTTATTGAATCTCTCTCTTCTTTTTTTCTTTTATGCTAACCATGATGGATTTTGATTTTAATTCTGATATATAATTATTCTTTTAAGCAGATCCGATTGATTGTGATTTATTTTTGGGATTCTTGATTAGGGTTTTTGATTTATAGAATAATATTGGCTGAACTGTTCTTGTATCTTGGATTACTTGAATTGCTTGAGAAAGAGTTTAGGTAATCAGATCATCTAATCAAGAAAATGAATTGAATGCATCTTAGAGATAATTTGCATTGTTCGTTTGGTAATCATTCATATCTAAATTGATGACCTGCGAATTCTTTTTCTTAATGCATGTATGGTGATTAAATTTTTGATAGAGATATAGGAATTGTCACCTATAAATAGGGTGGGCTGGGCTCGAGAGAAGCTGCTCATAAAACTAGGGTTTCGCCAACCCAAGACTGAAATCACTTCAGTTGGACAACTTAAGAATTTAATTGCTAAATCGGTTCTGCTAGTTTCTTGCATGCAGTAACTCTTATTATCATTAAAAGTGGTCTGATCCAAAACTGTTTAGGGTAATTTGCTAGCTAGGAGTTAGGGTTTTCTTTGTTTAATATTTTGGTTTATCAGATAACATGCGACTGATTCAGTACTAGTAGTTGTTGGATCAATCCTCATGGGAACAATACTCTATTCATCATTATATTACTTGATCGGCTAGTGCACTTGCTAGTGTAATCTATACACATCAAGTTTTTGGTGCCGTTGCCGGGGATTTGATCACAATAATATTATGAACCATCTGTCATTGTTAATCTGATTTTTTACATTATGTTTATGATATGTCTGCATTAGTTTCTTTAGGACTATGACTTGTACAGTTTATGACACGCAGAAGTGAGAAGGGGAGCATCACCTTCAATCCCGAGATTGAAAGAACTCTCCGTCGCCGCCTTAGAGTTTCTAAGCAAGTGAGAGCTGAAAGTGAAGAGATGGCCGAACCAAAAACCATGATTGATTATGCCAAACCAACCCTCATTGGGGCTGCCTCGAGCATTGTGAGACCAGCAATTGCTGCTAATAACTTCGAAATCAAACCAACAATAATTCAGATGATTTAGAATATAGTTCAGTTCTGCGGCTTGGCTCATGAAGATCCGAACACTCACATCGCCAACTTTTGGGAAATATGTGACACATTCAAGCACAATGGGGTTAGTGATGATGCGGTGCGGCTCAGATTGTTCCTGTTCTCACTGAAGGACAAAGCTAAGACTTGGCTGAACTCTCTACCTGCTGGATCGATAGCAACTTGGGATGAAATGGCCAGCTGCTTCCTATCCAAGTATTTTCCTTCGTCCAAGACAAAAAAGATGAGGAATGATATCACCACCTTTTATCAGTAGGACGGAGAATCATTGTATGAATCATGTGAGCGTTACAAGGAATTATTGAGGAAGGTCCCTCATCATGGACTTCCGATATGGCTGCAAGTTCAGACATTTTATAATGGGTTGACTGAAGCCAATAAGACTATTATGGACAATACAGCTGGGAGATCCATTAATAACAAGACCCCGGAAGTTGCCCATGCACTCATTGAGGAGATGGCTGCAAACAACTATCAATGGCATTCCGAGAGAGCCCAAGTTAGGAGATAGCCCGGACTTCACAATGTAGACACCTATACAACACTATCTGCACAAATCGGTGCCCTCAGCAAGAAGATAGATGAGATGCAGATAGCAACTATGCATGTTCAGACTGTAGCTTGTGAATGGTGTGGGGGAAGTCATATCAACACTGAATGTCAAGTTGGAAATCAGTTCGTGCAGTCCCCCGAGTAGGTAGATTTTGTTGGTAATTTGCAAAGACAGCAAGGCAATCAGTACCCTCGTGCATTTAATCCCAGATGGAGGAACCACCCGAATCTGTCTTGGCAAAATCAAAATGTGGTGAAACCCTTTACCCAAAATTTCAATCAGCCGGAAAAGAAATCTAATCTAGAGGAGCTGATGACCAAGTTCATAGCAAGTGCAGAAACGAGATTTCAGAACCAAGAAGCATCGATCAAGAACTTGGAGACTCAAGTGGGGCAGTTGGCACAAATGATATCTTCTAGAGTACAAGGCGCCTTACCCAGCAATACCGAAGCAAATCCAAGAGAGCAAGTGCAAGCCATTATCTTGAGGAGTGGTAAGGAGCTGCAAGAGGTGGAGGAGAAGGCAAAGGAAGAAGTTAAGGTGAGTGCAACCCTAGAAACCGAAAAGAAGGAGGAAGAGCAATCTGATTCAAAGAAAGAGAAAAGTCAACAGCTGCAAGTACCATTTCCGAATTGGCTAAGAAATTGGAAAAGGAATTCGGTAAGTTTCTTGAAAATTTTAAGAGTTTACATATTAACATTTCTTTTGCAGATGCTTTAGCTTAGATGCCACACTATGCAAAGTTCCTGAAGGAGATATTGGCAAACAAAAGGAAACTGGGAGACGTGGCTACAGTTGCACTGAATGAAGAATGTTTGGCAATCCTCCTCAACAAGTTGCCTCAGAAACTGAAAGATCCAGGGAGTTTCACTATTCCTTGCACTATAGGCAGTTTGAAAATTAATAAGGCATTGTGTGATTTAGGAGCTAGTATAAATTTAATACCATATTCGGTTTTTAAGAAATTAGGGTTGGGTGAACCCCAACCCACTAGAGTTGCATTGCAATTAGCTGATAGGTCCATCAAGCATCCTAGGGGAATCACAGAAGATGTACTTGTAAAAGTTGATAAATTCATTTTTCCTATGGATTTCATAGTTTTAGACATGCAAGAGGATGTTGATGTCCCTCTTATCCTAGGGCGACCTTTCCTAGCCACGGGGAAGGCAATGATTGATGTCCAGCAAGGGCAACTCAGCCTTAGGATTCAAGATGCGGAAGTAACTTTTAAAATGTCTGATGCTATGAAACATGCATCTTCTAGTGATGATTCATATTATATGATAGATGTCACTGATGATGCGGTTGGTGGATGCTTTCAGGTCAACAATCAGCGCCCCAAACCATATATAGCGGATGGAGCATTGCCTACCCCGTCAACTGTGTACCTAGATGTTCATTGACCCCACTAAACTGTCGACCTTCAGACAGAAAACAAGCGCTTATTGGGAGGCAACCTAATGCTGATAAGTAGTTCTTATTTTTATTTGTTTTCTGCTTTCGTATCATTCGAGTTTCTTTTCTAGGATGTTAATTTTGTAGATTGCTAATCCCCCTAGTGTTTCTCATTCTCTCCTCCTAGTTTCTTTTGGTTCTTAGCAGCTAGAGGGTCCAAACGGAAGGAGCCATTCTAGATTTCAGAATGCTCTTCAGAGAAGTTCTCTAAACCCCTTCAATTAGTTGAAGCCCCACGGCCCTCATTGCTGAAGTCATCTTCACATTCTATCTCTATGAACATTGAAGGCAATGTTCATGTTAAGTGTGAGGGAGGCCGTAGCTATGCACCTCAATCACCCCAATACATAATGCATTGATAGGCCAAATAAACTAAAATTCCCTCAAGATTATTGCTGTTTATAAGGTGAATTCCAAGAGGGAATATGATGAGTTGAAAGAAATCACCGTAAGTACTAGAATTTATTCCTATGAATTATCCAATCTTATTACAATACATGAGGTTAAGGAAGCTGAGTAAGACTTTCATCATAATCAGCCCTAACTCTCTTCATGTGTATAATGTACTTGATTGAAATCTTAATGATCATTCGAGCTATTAGTGCACATCTGAACTGTCCATGCATGAATTTCAACAATTGCAAAAGAAAAAAAAAGAGAATAAGAGAAAGGGACAAAGCCCAAATGACTCCGCTGTCATGAACTGAATATTAAAACTAGCGGTTTATGATATGAGTTCAGTCCCAACTTTGCTATTCCAAGCTGAATAGTAAAACTAGCAACTTGGAATATGAGTAGTGTTATCTACCTCCAGCCTGTGACCCGTGTGAGATGGAGCATAAAATGCACTCACACCAAAAAAAAAAAAAAAAAGAAAGAACAAAATTCGGTGATGGCTGAGGTTCAAAGGGACAAAATATGGTTGAACTTTCAATTAGGTGCTTTGACAGATTTGAGTCCAATCTTGAAGTGATGGTTAATAATGGTGGTCAAGGAGCTGCTATACATATTGAACGGAAGTGAGTGTTGGAGCATGAAGAATCTCATGTTCTCCCCTTCCTTTGGTCTTATGTATGTGGTAAGAGTGGCCAGTCATGGGGATGAATCAGAGTGCTTATGTAGGGTTTATGATCACTTAACGCATTCTCATCCTAAAAGTCATTCGACAAATGGAAATAATCTGGGGGATGATCAGTTTATGGGTAAGATCTTTGTCCGAGGATGAGCAAAAGCTAAGTGTGGGTGGATTTGATAAGAATGAAAATTATCATATTTTTTATCCCTTAATATTTAGTCTTTTATACTTATTTAGTGCCTAAATGGACTCATTATTCTTATATTTTGATTTAGGACATGAAAGGAGGCGTTAAGTGAAAAACAAGGCTAATCGGGTAATTCTGAATAGTTTCGGCACCGCATCATAATTTAGGCATAAATCTCTTATCCGGATTCCGATTGAGATGATTCAAGATGCGTTGAAAAGATAAGGAAAAGTTATATAGCTTTCATGTTTTGAGTTTTGATAGGTACAAACTTCATCAAGGTCAAAATTGGGCCCGGATTATCTACAACCGCACTTCTGACGTGGAGCCATTCCTTAGCCTACAAGTTTTCATCCGGGAATGGATGAAAATTAGGGTTCAGACCCTGAAAGAGAAAAAAAAAGAAGAAGAAGGAGAACTGCTGAAGAGAGGAGGGAGAAAGGCTGTTGAATGTGAATTGAAGAGGAGATCGAAGGTTGATGCAGAATGCTTACGTTGTCTTCTTCTTTGATTCCGCAATTTGGTAACTTAGATTCGATTAGGGTTTCTTGATGTTTCTTTATTGAATCACTCTTTTCTTTCTTTCTTTTATGTGAACCATGATGGATTTTGATTTTAATTATAATATGTAATTAGTATTTTAAGCAGATCTGATTGATTGTGATTTATTCTTGGGATTCTTGATTAGGGTTTTCGATTTATAGAATAATCTTGGCCGAATTGTTCTTGTATCTTGGATTACTTGAATTGCTTGAGAAAGAGTTTAGGTAATCAGATCCTCTAATCAAGAAAATGAACTGAATGCATCTTAGAGGTAATTCGCATGGTTCGTTTGGCAATCATTCATATCTGAATTGATGACCTACGAAATCTTTGTTCTTAATGCATCTATGGTGATTAAATTTCTGATAGAGATATAGGAATTGTTGCCTATAGATAGGGTGGGCTGGGGTCGAGAGAGGCTGCTCATAAAACTAGTGTTTCACCAACCCAAGACTGAATTCACTTCGGTTGGACAGCTTAATAATTTAATTGCTAAATCCGTTCTGCTAGTTTCTTGCATGTAGTAACTCTTATTATCATTAAAAGTGGTCTGATCTGAAACTGTTTAGGGTAATTTGCTAGCTAGGAGTTAGGGTTTTCTTTGTTTAATATTTTGGTTTATCAGATAACATATGGTTGATTCAGTACTAGTAGTTGTTGGATCAATCCTCATGGGAACGATACTCTACTCATCATTATATTACTTGATCGGTTAGTACACTTGCTAGTGTAATCTATACTCATCACACACCATGGCTGAATGCACATCATTGCCATGGTGTCCTTAAGATCATTGGATGATCTCTCTTCCTGATGGGCCCCACATAAGCTTCCTCTACAAGATGAACCGTGCGGAACCCTAACCCGTTTAGGGCCCATCTGAATTTGACTTTAAGAAAGTCAGTGGGAGCCACTTTGGTTTGACCTAAATAAAGAACTAGGGCTTAATTACTTGCTCCCTCTAGGAAAATATAAGTGCATGTGCAGATTTATATGATGAACTCTCTAAAGGCCTTCCATCATTAGCATGAAGATGGACTTATCAGTAATGAGGAGATGCACCATTAAATTGGAATATCCATTTGCTGGTGAGTCTATTGGATTGTTTCATAAGATGATTGGGGCATTATAGACCGATGTGGGGGGGACTCATCATAAAATGGAAGACTCTCTTACGGTACCTTGGCATTCACGAATATGATGGGTAAGCACTTACTGAACAGAAATGTTTAACCTAAAATGGAAATGAACCTTGTCTGGTAGAGGCCAAAGGGAAACTCATAAGATGAGTTGATATGATCCTTCACAGAAGGTGGTGGGGTTATGCAGCTGAAATAGTTGGCTCCATGCACTCTATATGATTTCCTACATTTCTAGAGACATACATCGCAGTCTCCGTCACTGAGAAATGAGGGAAATCTCAGAGATGAACAAATGGAAATGGAACATAGATTAAAAGCCATTTCTATGTAGATAACATGAATCTAATCAAGTTGTGGACTAATAATTTGCTTTGCCCTTTATTAGAAATGGCAAACAGAAAATTCACCAAATTGTTGGATGACAATAAGCTTAAGGGCCCAAACTATGCTGACTGGTTCCATAACCTTATGTTGGTTCTGATGTCCAAAAATTGGACAAGGTTGCTAAAAACACTACCCCAGATCGTCCAAGTGATAGGGCTTCTGAGGCCCAAATGAAAGAGTATCAAGAATGGGAAGAGAAAAATTCTCTTGCTCGGTGCTTTATCATAGCCTCCTTAGACAATTCGATACAGAGACAATTCGATCAGATTGAAGTGTCCAAGGATATCCTAGATAGTCTGAGGACAATGTACGAAGATCAGAATCATTCTACTCGGCAAAAGGTCTTAAAGCTATTTATGACTGCAAAAATGACTAAGAATCAACAGGTTCATGACCATTGTCTAAAGATGATGGGTTATGTTAATGAATTGGAGGCTCTCGATTCCGAGCTTGATCCTATCACCAAAGTTGATGTCATCCTTAATTCCTTACCTCCTTCCTTCAATCAGTTTATCATAAACAATAACATGAACAAGCTAAATATTAGTCTTCAAGAACTCAACAATATGTTGTAGAAGATTAAAGAATTGATTAAGAAAGACAAACCAATAGCCATAGTTGTTGAAGGTGGAAATTTGGGTAAGAAAAAGAGGAGGGCAAAGAAGAAGCCTCAGAAAAAAGGTTAGCAAACCTAAAAGGCAGAAGAAGGACAAGACATCGGATGCCTGCCTCTTCTGTAAACAAACTGACCATTGGAAGATGAATTGTCCTTAGTACCTGGAGGCCAAGAAACAAGGTAATTTTGAATCTTTTGTCATAGAGACCAATTTGTTGGTCACTTATACTTCTTGGTGTATTGACTCCGGGGCTTCTACTCATGCATGTAACACATTGCAGGGGTTCAGGACAAGCAGAAGGCTGAGTGACGGAGAAGGGACTCTTTACTTGGAGACTTCTACAACAGTTGCAGCTACAACTATAGGAACTATAGATTTACATTTTAGAGAAGGAATTGTAGCCCTTAAAGATTGTCTTTATGTGCCAAATTTGAGAAGACATTTGATTTTTGTTTCAAAATTTTGCATAAATGGTTATTTTATTTTGTTCAGTAATGTGATTATTATTAAATAAAATAACAAATTCCTTACTTGCGAAGAACTTGAGAATGGTCTCTGTGTTTTCCATCCTTCTCTGGAAACCAACATAACCGAAACTACGTTGGAAAAAATCCCCAAGAAAAGAACGCGTGAAACAGTTAATCCCATGTGCTTGTGGAATTACCGATTTGGCCACATAAACATAGATTGTATCACAAGGTTGGTAAATGATGGTCCTTTGAATTTTTTAACTATAGAAAACCTTCAAACCTGTGAACCTTGCCTTCAGGGTAAGATGACAAAGTGGCCATTGACGGGAAGCCTGAAAGATCTATAGGCACGCTTGACCTAATACATACTGATGTATGTGGTCCCCTGAATGTTAGGACATGTAACCAGCACGTTTATTTTATAAAATTTACCGATGATCATTCACGGTATGGTTACGTGTACCTAATGAGAAATAAGTCTAAATCATTTGAAATGTTTAAGGAGTTTAGGCAAGAGATCAAGAAATAGT